AGAATATTCTAGTGATGTGGGGTTTGAAATATTTGTTGACTCCGCAATCTGATGCTGGCCACACATGCAATATAATTGTATTATGGTCAACCATTTCCCCAAAAGATCAATACATTTCCGAAACCAACGACACTAAAAAAGGAAATTTAAACAGTTTTTATTGAAAAGGGCCACCACGTCTTTTTATGTTTCAAATGATGGAATTTATGATTTTTAGAATTGTGCAGGACAGGCAACCTTAGGCATGGGTGACAGGACGAGCATGTAAGCAAGGCTCGGACTGGCCCCCAGCTCCCTACACTTACAGAGCTGATGCCACTGGCTGTAACAGACAGCTCACCGGACTGTAAACTACAAAGTCTGGCTTGTCCTTCTCAATCCACAAGGCCACCTTTGTGATGTTTCAGTGGGGCCTGCCTGACGTCACCGACATACTGGGTCCAAATTCTAGTACAAGTGTAGGCCTACCTGCAAAATGTAGTTATGTGAAGCCCACCCACCTTCCCTCTTAATGGCCCTTGATTATCCACCAGCTGCAGCAGGTATGGTTGTGAAACCCCTGAAATTTTGGGAGGTGCAATAGGGGTCGATTGTAGGTCTATAGCATGCTATTCTCTGGCATGCCAGTTGTCTAATGCTTGTAAACTGACACTGAATGTGGAAAAGGTTACAGACCCCTGTAGTTGTGAATGGCTAGTGAGTCAATACAAAATCACCTGCACTCCATACAGCATACAGACCTTGGATGAAAGGTTGGTGCTTGAAGTGATAACACGGATGGCGCCGTGTCAGATACAGTCTATAATTGAAGTCACGAGCACTCTTTATTAAATCGTCACATGCGTCAACCAGCCAACGTTTCTGGGGCCACGCAGGGTGCTTTCTGGGCAACATAGTCACTGTCGCCCAGAAGGGACCCTGCATGGCACCCGAAGCGTGGTTGTTTGACGCAAGTGACGATTTAATAAAAAGTGCTTTACTTCTTGCACACATCGAGTGCTGTGACTTCCATTATGGTTAGCGGGCGTCTCTGGACTTTAGCACAGCTGCAACATATCCTGGTTAGGCGAGTGATGCCTGCGGTTTTCCTGTAAGTATAGAGCTGAACTTGTTGCCAGCAGTTCTGTATAACAATCAAAGCAGTCTATTCAATATGCCCAGTGCAAGGGGAAACCTGTTCAACAGGAACTACAGACACTAAATTTACTTCTGCTAAAGACTTCAAAGTGATGACATTTCTGACAAGTTTAGTTGTCCCGAGGTTGAAGATATGCCTGGGATAAGGGGGGAGGGAGCTCAAACTGGGTAGTTTATAGTATGCCAACAAGTCCCAACACCTCTTTCCATTGGCCAATAGCTTGCTGCAGTCAACATTATGAGAATGATTGATAATGTTCATGTTCTTGGCGGCCAAAACCACGATTGCTAAATCCTGGAAGGCACCTAGGGTGTCATTACGGCAAGTAAGGACCAAGCTTGTCTTGGATCATGATTCACGAAAAATGAGTATCTTTTTGGATAAAGCTGGGCAATTTGAGTTAACATGGGGTCCTTGGATGGCCTATGTAGGGGGTACAACAACATGAGTGATAAGGATTGCGGGCCCTAGCTCATCCCGACCAAATTAACTAATTACTTACCTACTTTGAAATTGGTCCCCCCGACTAGTCATATTCTACTGGCCTTCCCCTCCCCCCCTCTTCCCTTCCTGCTGGCTTTCAATTTTCTTCTCTTTTTAGTTAGTTTATTGTATTTCTAAGAGGTTTTTCCTTTTCTCTTTTTTGTCTCTTTTTTTCTCGTTCTACATGCAAGTATGTTATGTTTGTCATGGTGCCAGTTTTTATGAAAGATTTATATATAAACATCCTAGCAGGGACCACTTACCGATCAAATCTGCATACTTGAAAGGGGAAAAGAATGGAGGACATACCTTGTTGTAAGGCACTGTTTTTAAATATTATACAAAGGTAACGCTTTCTTCTCTTAAAGGCTATTTGTATATATTTGGGTATTAGGGTGAGAATAAGAACCCAGCAGAGTGGAATGAGTAACGTCTTGCTTTAGATGGTTGGTACTGTATTGTCTGGTTTTATGGCGTATTTGTCATATGTCTTGATGAAAACAATATTTGAAATATAACATTATGAGAACGGAGGACCTAACTTGTCTCAGACACCAGGACCAAACATTCTGGAAGAACTGGTTCAATAGGTGCCAATATCAATGCTCCTCTGAACACGAAACGAAGATTTTTAGCTAAACCGTGAAGTAATGTAAAGTAGAACTGACCTGACCCGTTCACCCACCCCGACCTTCTTCTCCAGTCTGTGGGGGACGCACTCCAATGCTCACTTTCCTAACTTTTAAAACATTTATCTTTGCCATTTCCCTTTACAGAAGCAAAACCACTTACCACACACAGAAGTGTTGTTGAGCTCACGTTTGTGCTGCAGGACTGTGCGGTTTTGTTCCGTTTCATGGCACACATAAATAGTCAGCCTAGGCCTCACATTCCTGTGGCAGAGGAGAAAAAAAAAGGAACCATTCAATAGGGAAGGTAAAATATGGAGCGTTTGTCATCGAGGACATTACCTCCTGGAAATGCTAGTTTTCCGGCAGTAACATTGCCTCATTACTTTGGGTTACTGACCCGGAACACATATGCAGATTAGTTCCAGTCTTGAGGAAGGGGGGGGGGGGGGGGGGACATACTTCAGAGTGTCTAATATGTGGTTCTAACAAAGTCCAAGTGCCATCCGCACTCCTACGGTCTTATAATTCAAAAAGGCATCTGTGGTGCTCAGGGTGACCGCACGGATGGCCCCACGCAAACATCAATGATAAATTCAAAGGTTTCACCGGCACACACTCAGAATCGATCAAAATCCAGATTTATTAACCTCCCTGGCGGTATGATTATTTAGCTTTTAGTTATTTTTTCGGCGCAATTTTTTTCGGATTTATTTCGTTTTTTGTCGTTTTTTCCGGGGTTTTTTTTCGAATTTCCTGCCGGTTCCGCCCCCATGCGACGCGTCAGCTCGCAAGGGACGGAACCCATTGTGACATTTTGCCCTTTATTGAATAAATCTGGATTTTGATCGATTCTCTGAGTGTGCCGGTGAAACCTTTGAATTTACCATTGATATGTAGAACCAATCCAAAGCACCAAAAACCGACCGACAAATGAAGATTATGTGCAAGCGAGGATAACTAGGGGTGCTGCCCCACTTCAGCCTGGGAAGCTGCAACACTATGGGAGAAAACAAAAGAGAAGGGCGCCCACCCTAGTGTAGATGGTTTTTTAATGATTAAAAGCGGAGCTCCAGGATAAAAATCACTCGCAAAAGTGAATCAGTAAAAGCATAAAAAGCAAGCCTGGACGACATCTGAAAACGGCTGCACAGACACCTTTGTGACAGCACAAGTCTTGTAACATTACACATCTCCTTATATTGCTGTAGGAGTGAGGCTGAAGTCATGTTCTGACGAAGGGGCGTGGCTCCCGAAACAAGTCATCGAAGGAGTCCTGTGCTGTCACAGGTGTCTGTGCAGCCGTTCTCAGATGATTACCGATTCACTTTTGTGAGTATGATTTTATCCTGTACTTCAGCTTTTTATCATTAAAAAACCATCTACACTAGGGTGGGCACACTTCTCTTTTGTTTTTTTACCATTGATATGTTATGTTATTCGCAAATGCGCATCAATTCCGTTCACACATTGACACGGCTACTCTTAGGCTGACAGCAAAAAGTTTAATATGAATTACTAGCTATGTTCCTAGCCAATAAGCATACCAGCATTGCACACAGAGTGGATCAGACCCATAAGGGATAATATTGCGAGAGGGAGGATGTTCTGTAACCATAAAAGGATTATTCAGCGGGACTTTTTTAAAAGATTCCAGAAAATCTCTTACAAGTGGATACTTTCTATTCAAGTGAATATCCTTTACCACATTAATTTAATTGAACTGTGTATAAAGAATAATCCCACTTGTTATAACTCGCTACCAACACAGACATACCCACCTTCCTCGTACTGCATTAAAGAGCCGAATCCCGTCCGCAGGGCCACAGACTTGGACAAAATCCTCCTTAGACATCTTTAATAAGTCAGCACCTATAGAAGTAAAATAGCTGTGGTCAAATGGAACATAAAACTTCCAACAGCTCAATAAACAAAACAGCCCATTAAAGTACATAAACCCCAATGATGAACTTCTTATATGATCCATTCTGGTCTGTTAAATATAAAATGAAAGGTGTTGTTGTTGTATCTGATCAGTGTACTTGCTAGTTTTGTGCAGGGGGCAAAAGACAGCTCCGAATTGCTGACACTTCCTGTGTTCTCAAAGTCTATTTAGCTCTCCTAGCCTCCATCTTGGACTACAGAATGATTAAGCCCTTATGTTGTAGAGATCTCAGAGTGGGACTGGCTGAGTAGTTCAGCAAAACACACTGTAGAGAGTTGACACCACTCAGTCCACAAACATGCTGTGTGTGGTCCTATCGCAACAGGGCTTGTGAGCTGAATGCATTCTATTGCCGATCAAATTGGAATTTTGTTTACTTCATGGTCTTTAAAAAGGTATAAAACATGGGCAAATGTGCATATATTGGAGACATAATGCATTTTTTCCCCCAAATATTGCCTTGACATGTGCTTTAAAGCAGAACTTTTTGTCTAGGTGCTAAAGAAAGTTACTCACCCGATTCTAGCAGCCGGCTCAGTCTTAAGGTGCCCATACACTGCTCGATTCTCGTACGAGAATCGCGGGAAATCCCGCGATTGTACGAGAATCGAGCAGTGTGAACGGAGACGTGCGACCGTTTCTACTGTACGGTCGCACGTCTTCCGTCGAACCAGCATGTTCGAAAACCAGCCGGGAATCGTACGATTCTCGGCTGGTTAGAACGGTGCTCGGAAGACAAATGCTGAACGGGCCGGTGTGCGCACGCGCACACTGCCCGTTCAGCATTGCGGTCATCGGAAGCCCGCCCCTCAGGGGGGCGGGCTTGCGATGATCGAGCGTGCGATCTGCCTGTCCAAGATGGGCAGATCGTACGTTTTTTTAATCCCTTTACAACCATCGCAAGACTAAGGTCTTGCGATGGTTGTACAGTGTATGGCCACCACCTTTAGGCCTGGTTCACACCTGTACGTTTTGTAGCACGTTCAACGCTCAAACATGAAAATCCCATTGTTTCCTATGGGTATGGTTCACACCTTGCCGTATTTCAGCCCGTCTGAACGCGCTACAAAAACGGCCTACGCCTGAAAAGGTACATGATCTTCTTTGGGGCGTTTTTGTCGCGTGTTTCCATTGGGGTACAGCCAAGTAGCCCTCGGAAACGCGCATTTGTCGCAAGTTTTTTTACCGCGAATCACGGTAAAAATGCGCGTCACGAAACACGCATATTCGATATGCCTAGCTGTGAACAGAGCCTTAAGCCAGGTCCCTCTGAAGCCTCTCTCCCCCCCCATTCCAGCAGTCTAAGGTCTCATAAACCATTATATACGCGAGGACGCTGAGGAACATTCCAATGCTGCGGCATTGGAGAAAGGCTTCAGTGACCAGAGTAGCAGGCAGTCGGCTCTGCAGTTAGGGCAAGTAACTTTTTTTTTAACATCTAAAGAAAAACAAGAACGTAAACCTTGCAGTGTGGGGGTAGACTCACTTCGAAGGGTTAACACTTTTGAGTTCTTGAAGACCAGATTTTACTGCCGAAAAGCACACTTTGTTATCTACCTTCCCCTGGTGTGCTGGTATAAGGAGGGGTCACACGGTTTCCAGGCATGCAGACTGACACTGCTCCGCTTCCAGTGTGCTCTAAAGCCTTGGTTCTCAACTGGTGGGTCGTGACCCAAAAGTAGGTTGCGACCCCATGTTCAGTGGGTCGCCGTGCGCCTTCCACTTTTCTAGGTGAGAGGATCCTCAGCCTCCCCCTAGCGCAGCACTGTCAGTTCTCACGCCGAGCAGCCATCCAAAATATGCTGCCCGGTGCCGAGTGTCAGCTTGTGGTGGGGTTATGGCTGCGAATCAGCTCCATCCATACGTGCATTGTTTACAGCTCCCTCGCGTGTCCTGTAGAGGTGCCTGGACCGGAGTGATGTCACATTCTGGCTCCTGGCATCTCTACAGGTGATGAACATAGATGGAGCTCCGTCACAGTGCATTCTGGTGTGGGAGGTGCATTGCTATTCAGTTGAATGGCATCCCAAAATGCATCTCCCACCCACAGTTCTATCGCCCGCATCGGAACGCACAGTACCACATGCCATGCGTTCCATTGCAGTTCAACTTGGGTCGCGACTTAATGACCAAGGACAAATGTGGGTCCTGAGGTTACACAGGTTGAGAACCACTGCTCTAAAGTATTAGTAGTCATCACTGTGCAAGTGACACCCATCTAGCATGGTACCTCCTTCTTCTGTCCATCAGCCATCACTGCAGCCACAGCAAGTATGAATTCACCTTTCAGAAGTCTTCAAAAGCATATTTTTAAGTAAATACGCAGGTGAAGATGATTACTTTACATACGTGAACTGTAATAGCGATCTATTACCTCAAAAGTTATTGCAGCACCTTATGCAGTTTGCTAACTACCGCCTAAAAGATTTTAAAGAATAACTATGGGGTTAGGGCTTTTCCCCATAGTTCTCATTAGGGTTACGAGGGTTACGGGAGGACACAAACTAGCGTCCTCCCGTCACCCTAAGCTCCATATACCGCAAGCTATAACTCACGGTATACTGAGACGCCGCAGCTGAAACGGATCCCGACAATTATGTCTGGACCCGCCCAGCTGTGTGAGTGACAGTTGGCTCTATCTAGAGGCAGAGCCAGCTGTACCCGCCCCCTTCCCCGTCCGTTCCACCAGTCAGCGATGGAGGATCGGATCGGAGCGGGGGGAATCCAGCGCCTCCCCTGTCACGGCAGAGGGCCGTGACAGGATCGAGAAGTGAGCGAACGCCGGTATGTGTTCGCTCACCTCCCGATCTACTGAGCCGACCTGTGACAGTCTCATTGTCACAGGTCGGCTAGAACTATGAGGTGAGTGAAAAGCACCCTCCTCATAGTTCTCCTTTAAAGAAACATGGGGGGTGTTGGATTTATAAAAACTGGAGCAGAGAGAATCTGGTAAGATTTGAAAATGAGACAGAAGCTGATTGGTTGCAGTGCAAATCTTGGATTTTATCTGCTCCAGTTTGGATAATTTGAAGAATGCCATCTCCCTAGGAACTACAAGTCCCAGCAAGCAACTGGCATGACACGTTCTATTCTTAAGAGCTATTTCTGTTAAGGTGTGGATTCTAAATCAAGTTTGGCAGTTTTGTTCCACCCGTTCATCCAAAATGTTGTGCAACGAATGTCATCTCGAGTGTGCCAGCAATGTTCTGCCAAGGACACTCCTCATAGCTGACAGGCTAATAAGAATCAGTCAGAGACCTAGACATTTTCATAGCAACATAAAAAGATGCTATAAAACAGAAATCCTTCGTAGATACTGGGGATGATCCAAGAGAACTCCTTCCATGGGAAGTCTGCGTGGTCCAATACAAGACGTGTGTCCAAGGACTCTCTCCTAGTTAAAGCGGCCATAAACCCGAACATTTTCTACTCGTCAGTTAACTCTCAAATGTTTGTGGATTACCATTTTAGTAAATACCTGGTTGATCCTGGTACAACCCCCCTCCTTCACTATTCAGAACAGCAACACTATTCCATCAGATCTTCCATCTTTAGTGTCGTCACTGTATGCCCCAGTTCTTCCCTTCGTTGAAGCTGCTCCCTTCCCCAGCCCAATGACACTTCACCTTCCTGCGGATCTGCTTCAACATAGTAATTGACAGCAGCCTCCCACATGACTGTTCCTAAATCACCAACATTCATAATCCCCATTCATGTTTTCAACTAAGTATATACACTGAGTGGCCAGATTATGACCACCCCATCAGTACTTCATTAGGCCACGAGATGACTTTGTTGGGCCGCCTGGTGACTCCACGAGATGATGAAAGGCGATGCGAGGAATCTGACACTGTGCTGTTGCCCTTCTGTTGTCTTGTACCAGTCTTGCCCCTCCCCCGTTCTGCCCTAACATTGACTAGTCGCTGACGGCCACAATTCCCACGTCCAGACCCAGATTTTCGGCTGACAGTCCGGTCTTTAAACACTTTAACAATGAGCTGCTCCTGAACATGTAACGAATTCTGCTGTTTTGCTGATACTCGCTCCATGGCTCCGAGCGCCAACAATCATCCCGCGTTCCAAGGCTGTTACATCGCGTTGTTTCCCCGAATCTTCCCAAACAAATCACTTCTACTGTCGTGGTAACCAACCTGCTCCCCTATTTATAATGGTCTGGCCATCTAGCAACTTCAGCGCCAAATTATAGCTAATTTGCCTACAAACTTCATAAAAATTTTGGCCGGCCAGTGTATATAATAATCCGGCCACTCAGTGTATATAATAATCCGGCCACTCAGTGTATATAATAATCCGGCCACTCAGTGTATATAATAATCCGGCCACTCAGTGTATATAATAATCCGGCCACTCAGTGTATATAATAATCCGGCCACTCAGTGTATATAATAATCCGGCCACTCAGTGTATATAATAATCCGGCCACTCAGTGTATATAATAATCCGGCCACTCAGTGTATATAATAATCCGGCCACTCAGTGTATATAATAATCCGGCCACTCAGTGTATATAATAATCCGGCCACTCAGTGTATATAATAATCCGGCCACTCAGTGTATATAATAATCCGGCCACTCAGTGTATATAATAATCCGGCCACTCAGTGTATATTACAATGTATCAATTCTGAGAGTTTGCAAGGGGTGCATACTAATTTTGGCTCCAGGGTGTGACAAACTCTGCCTCAACAAGCAAGATCATAAAAAAGTCTTGGGGTTTGTTTTTTTAATTGAAAGTGTTACTTTGATGTGCTCCGAGTATGTTCCCGTGATAGACTACAATCTTAAAATACAAATTAGTAGACGAATCGCAGGATTGTAGTCTATCACAGGAGCGAGCTTGGAGCGGTGACTACTTTACAACACACACAGGGACCATGGGGAACAGAAGTAGCTCCCCCTTCAGAAGGAAGGACAGTGTCAGAGATGATCGGAGGATCTACAGCCGAGTGATACACAAATAAGATACATTGTTGTTAATAGTTAAGATACTTGAACATACTAGAGATTTAACTCCTGAGTTTAGTATCATTTTAAGTTGCTATTTAATGCTTATAATCAACATTTACACTTTTGGGACTGGTATCGCAAAAACTGGCAGTTTTTCTCCATTCCCTTGATCAAAGTATCTGTTCAATACCTGATAGAGGGGAAAACAAAAAAAAAACTTCACTTCCAGATTTCTCCTCTAACGCTTTTTGGTGACCACAGCAGAAAAAAAAATTAAACCTCAAAAACAAAAATGTAATATATTGCAGCTTGGGATAAGCTTGAGTGCACAGAAGTTCCGAGCTCAGTGGATTTCCTGGCAGGATCAACAGGTATTTTTTTGCAGTTCTCAGATACATTTTCAGTGATTTAACAGATCAAAAGGGAGCACATAAGAGAAGTTCACTGTTAAGGTTTACATATGAAGATTCTAAACTTACCCACTTTATCAATTTATTTTTAAACAAGTTTATACAATCGTGCGCTTTAAAACTGTAAGGGGGGACCAGCATGTTTTGTCCATGGTCATTTACTACAAAATAAATGTTTACAGCCCTTGTGATCCAAATGTATGTTACTTTTTTTTAGCACAGACACGATTAGTAATTTTTAATTTCGCCCGCCGCAAGTCGCTTAAGGCCCCATTCACACTGAGCAGATTGCAAATTGCGCGTTTGTCGGGCGATTGTCATTTTGCGCGATATCACGCGTTTTTCTGCACGATACCGCGCAAATGATTGCATTGGACCGAGTGCAATCGCGTTGACATCTGCGCCAAAAAAGGGTACTGCAGTAGCGACACGCGACAGCTCCATTGACTTGCATTGGAGAGCAATATTGCGCGGATAATATGTGCGATATCGCGCGGTTTTATCGCTCAGTGTGAATGGGGCCTTAAATCAGAGAACTTGCCAAATAAGATCCCAAGGCTGACAGCCAGTGAAGCATGGCAGGGTGAAGTGGTGGTCATGCTGCTAGAATAGGATATTTAGGGACTCGGCAGGCTTGGTGGATCAGATACAGGGGTTGCAGATTGGCCTGGTCAGGGCAACACTCCGATCTACCGGTCACATGGCCACAATCGATTGGAATATCCTGATCAACTGGTTGCCAAACCCTGCTCTATATAGTTATCCGACACATTCTTCCAACCAGCCAACCAGCCCCAACCAGTAGAATGTCTGATCCCAGAGTCCAAACCCAGTAAACGATCCATGTTGGGAGCTTACGCAGTGTTCATGTCTCCCCCACACTTCCCTGGTGGTTGACCACTCAGATTCGCTGTAAGTTTTTTTTCTTTTTTACAGGAATATTTACAAAAAAGCCATACCAGAGACACCGTAATGTACCTGAGAAACTAGACAGAAGTCTGCAATACTGTGGAAACCGATTGTGCTGCAGCCACTGTTGCACATCTTGTATGGATGCAGAAGGCACAAGATACTGCACAAAAGAAAGGACTAAGATTAGACAGACCGCACTTGCCAGTGACCTTAGCTGGCTCTAAACAGTCGGTGGTTCAAGCAAACTGAAATTACATTTCC